ATATCCGTCGGAAAATACAAATCCGTCGGAAATTCCGTCGGAAAAGACATTTAGCGGCGGGGGTTTTTCCGACGGCAAAATCCGTCGGAAATCCGTCAGAAAGTTGTTTTTCCGACGGATTTCCGACAGATTTTGCTGTCGGAAAAACCCGATTTTTTAGTAGTGTAATTAATAATATTTTACTTGCATATTTCAATGTCCAACCCAAAATACATGTAAAGTTCTCTTAATTTTTTTTGTTTTTCTAAATTGGGATTTTCGAGCAAACATCATTTTGTCAATTTAATAGTTTTTAAATAAATATAATTTTTTTAAATGTATTTTAATTTAATAAATTGGATTTGTGATTGAATATATAAAATATTTTTAATACACAAATTTTATAAAAAAATGTGAATCATAACTGTTGCAAACTCATAGAGTTAACTATATAGACCATGAATGTTATGAAATTAAAAAGTAATGAACTATCAATGCAAATAGTTCTTTTTAAACAGAAAATCCGAATTTTGAGCAAATTGATGTGGGTCCCTTCGACAACCCTGTGTGAAGTCTTTACCCACGAACATTTGATTGAAGGACTTCCATCGACAACCTAAGCCTTCTCTAATGCATCACAGGAGACTCTGTCCTTTGTTCAAAGTCCTCTAAATTGTAGTGAATGTATTCAATTAGGGTACAACGACAACTATTGTTTCGAGTCACCTAAGTCATTTGTCGTAACAACAAACTCAAGGTTCCTTTCATCATTTATGATCACATCAGATACAAACATACAACAACAATGTTATAAACTAGTGTCCGTTTTACTATGGTAGAAAAACACACTTATGAAACCATTTGAAATCGAAAGAAAATGTGACGATTTGTGGTTGATCAATAAGCATCAACATTAGCAAGGACATGGGCCTCGATTGCCTTAAAGACTTTCTTGTATCCTTCATTGGTCTGGGTAAGCATCTCTTCCGGTACGGTTGCTTCGCCTTTACAATTAAATACAGTTGTGTGCTTGTATACAGAGCCACCATCAGCACCAGGTGAGATCTTAATATGATGAGTGATAGAGTCTAAAAAATCGAACAAGGCATCACCTTCATAGATCGTGTAGCTGACGCTAAGGTTACTCACGTCAACTGCATCAACCTTTTGTATCGATGTTGTGTATGGTACAGCTACATAAAACACACAATCGGAAATAACTTTAGTACAGTCTCACATCAATTATAGCTGTTTCATTTCTTCTCAATATAAGTTGGAATCTCCATTATCTCCTCAAAAGCTCTTTTGCTAAGTAATCTAATGAGACTTTACATATTCTCACAAACTTTTAGCATTTAAAAGTCACCACAAAATATTGGGTTTATGGGAAGTGTTTGTAAAGTTAGTTTATAGAACTTAATATTATATGACCAAACAATAAACCGTCTTATCTAAACGTATTACAGTAAGTTTATATAATATTTTTGGACGTCATAACAAGTATTTCGAAATGGTGTGTTTTCTTACCATCACCGTGAATGCATTTCTTGATAGTTCCGACACCTCCATCGCCCTCGACGATGGAGATGGACTTGAAAACTTGAGGAGTAACCTTGGGTGCAAGTGAATCAAAGCTAACAATCACCTTGAAAAGCTTATCTGCAGGAAATGCAGCAGCGATCTCAACCTCAGTAGTAACAACAGTCATGATGTATCAATTAATTTCAGAAAAACTATTAAAACGAAATAATAATGTTTGATGATTTTGTGTAATTAAATGTGAGTAGAGATCTTGGTATTTGTAGGCAATTGGAGTTGGAATGGTTGGTGAAATGGCACAAGAATATTGACCGTTGAAATAATAAACAAAGTTAATAAAAAGTACATTATTCTCATGAATATTAAATTGTGTTCAATAATGTAATAACCTTTACATTTAGGCTTTCAATATATATTTTTGATGCATAATGCGCAAGTGAATGTATGCCAAATTCACTTGAGGACATTCTCGTTAATTAAGAATGAAAACGAGACGGGTAATAGATAGGGAATGTGTCTCTCGACACCGACCTACCTCCCCCATCCTTCACCCTGTCTTGCCTAATCCCTAACGATTTCGAGGGAAAAAGTTCCTCGACCAGTATGCAAAACCTGTTTATGAAAAAATAATTATGTATTTTAAAATGAAAAAAAAAATGAGTTTTTAATGCTCAAGACAAATAAATAAACCTCAAGTTTCAGAAATACACACTGATACAACCAACAACATATAATCGTAGTTCATTACAATTTTAAAAGTATAAAATTATTAAGAAAAAAAAAATGAAATTAATCAAATTATATATTAAAAGTTCGTATATCAGGTATTATTTGGGGCAGGTAGGACCATCCTCGACCTCGAACCTGCTTCACGTAAGAAAAGCAATACCCATCTCTTCCTCGTTATCCGATCCAGCTGGCAAAATTTCCATCATCATCTCCAAAACACTCTACGAAATAAAGAAACCGGAGGTTTTAAAGAGTTGTGTAAGTTTTTTTTGTTTCAACAAAATTTTCAAAATGGCGAAAGTAGAGAGAGTGCGAATTTCTCAAGATCTTGAAAACTCCTAAAAAATGAATATGATGAAAGATTAAATTACATGTGATTTTAATTGAAAATTTTATTGGAGTTGAATGCACTTTATTTAGAAATGTTGAACTTTAATTCTTCAGTTTAATTATATCTCTCAAGAATCTTAAATTACATGTGATTTTAATGGAAAATCACTTCTGATTTGGTGATTCTCTTATTTTTTTTATTTTGTCACTGTTCTCCTTTGAACCCGACTATATATAATATTATATATACAAAAAAGCAAAATTACAATCTACATTGTAACACCCTAAATTTCGTTATAATAATTTGGAGTTTATCATGTGAGTCTTGACTTTGAAATACCTTCCATTTTCTGTATTTATGGTAGACTGTGTTGTGTTTGATTTGAACTATTAAAGACTAGAAAAAAGATGTAGTTAGAGATTGGTACAGTGTCCCATGGGTAGCCATTCAGGCAAACCCATTGTGGTGTTTGGCCTGGAGGACATGGGCGACTAATGCCGCGAGCTTAGCCGCGTTAAAAGTCGCGAGAGGCTCTGATCTGTATACTAAAGTCCAGAAATTTGGGTTTTTCTCTCATTTCTCTTCACCAACATTTCCTCTACTTGATTTCTTCCCTCCCTCCTCATTTACTCCGATTTTTAAAGCATTTATTTGACTTCTCCAACCGCTCAAAGAGGTTTAATCATCATCCTAGCTAGGATTTCAAAGCTAGAACTCAAGATCCAAGCTATCACCTTCATTTTCAAGGGTTTTCTTGATTTCTAAATTTTCACCAAAACCTAGTTTTGAGAGTTCATTATATACTTTTATAAAACTATATACATGTTAAGATGACATATTTTACTTCCTCTGAGTTCCCATTTCAAATATTTCACATTTGATTGATTTTGAACCAACTAAGTCAAATTTAGGATTTGGGGGATTTCATATATTTTGACAAAATAATTATGGGGACTGATTTTATATACATGGGAGATGATTGCTTCAAAGCTTGATGAGTCTTGGAACCTAAACTTGTAATATTCATTTCTTTGTTTTTATTGGTATATTGTAGATTTACTCACTTAATGGCTATTTGTATACAAATGTTGATATAATGGGTATGTTTTGATATATCTACAAGGTTACGTACTTTAGACTAGAATACAATGGATCTATAGACATAGAATTCATTTTATTTGATACGTATGTGATGATAAATCCCTATTTGTAACTTGAAATAGGCATTGCGTTTACATAAGCATTATGGTGTGGACTCTTAGAGTCGGTCATTGACCAATATAATGTAATTTCTAAGTGAACGAGTTTAACTTAGATTTTTAGAGATCTCAAGGTATAGAACTAGAAAGGTTGAACTTGGTGACTATACAAACAAAAGATTTGAAGTAGTTAAGCTTGTTAATTGATTAAACTATAGACCTCGAGCAGTTGATCTTAATGATTGGTTATCCATAAGTGATGCTTATATAACATTGTAAGGTGGCTTACTTAAGATGTTTTGTCAATCCAAAGGGTGAGCTCGATTGAAAATGCATGAAATGACTTGTTAAAGCTACATTTTCAGTTTTATTATTTTATAGCTTTATGCTATAATTGACACTTTTTCTTAATTGTTATGTATATCAAGATCTCTTGGCAGTGGGGTCCTAATGCTTGAGTGGAGCAATGTTTTCCAGTAGAGACATTTTTAAGTTATCATCTTTTGGAGGACATTCGGGAGTTACTGCTGATAAATATTATTTTGAGGATTGTAGCGACACTCAGTTGTAACCTAGATCTAAAATTGATTTAGATTTGTAAATTGTTGGCTACCCTCCATTCTTTGATGTAAACTCTGTTACTATTTCCTCTTTGTTGGGTAATTATATTTGATCCAAGTTTTAATCTTCTTTCTCTCTATGGTTTAAATATCTTCTATTTTAGGTGTGTTGAATACATGCTTTATAAACATATAATCCCCAATTATCATCTTATTTTCTTTTAAAGACGTTGAACGGTCGTTTGACGATGAAATTAAGAGTTTTATAGATTGATTGAGTTAGTACAATCTAATTCAAATACCCAAAGTTATAAGAAAAAAGAAAAATTATATACTTAATGACATTATTTTGAAACATTTAAATATTAGTAACACTAAGGGGCTATTTGTTTGGTTGGTTTCTCATTAAGTCATGTATGGATAAAATTGTCTATGTGAATCAATTTGTCTGTATAAATTGAGGAAAGTTTTTTTAGGAGGATTTTCTGTAGATGAAAGAAGCATATATTTAAATTCCGAGAGGTAGGTTTGAAAAAAAAAAGATCCAAACTTTTAAAAGCTTAATAAATAAGCCATTTTCTCCCCTAGAAGCTTGATGAATAAGTTATTTTTTATATCATTAAATTATTATCAAATAATCATATATAACTATAACCGACTGAATAAACTATAAGTATCGTAATATGAACATGGATGAAATTTTTTGGTATTTTATTGGATAATTCATAAATATTTTGATCTAGATGTATATAAAATATTATAAAAATATAAGTGAAGATGTTTTTTAGTTTAAAATATTGAGGTACACAAATATTGACTTTTGACTCATGATTTGGATATATTTTATTTGAATCCTTCGTTTTCTCCACCCGCCCATGACGCTCTGCACATTACTATTTTACTAATTCAAAGCTTACACATAATTTAGATTGAATATTAAATACTTCATTTGTTTAAAAATTATAATAATTTATTTTACTAATTCAAAGCTTATACATAATCTAGATTGAATATTAAATACTTTATTTGTTTGAAAAATATAATAAATTATTTTACTAATTCAAAGCTTATACATAATTTAGATCGAGTATTAAATACTTTATTTGTTTGAAAAATATAATAATTTGTGCTTGGAGTTGTTTAACCTATATATATATATATATTATAAAAAATTTAGATTGTTACTTTTAAAACTTTTAACTATTTTTAGGTAAATTATTGAATTATTAAGTTGTTAATCCAGACTCTCTTAATGATTTGATGATGATCTTTTATACCTAACGAAAAATACTTAGTAATGTTTTATTCAGTTTCAATAATCATCACGGAGTCTGTTCTGTGATCACTGAACATGTATTGTAAACTTCTCTAATGAACAAATATTTTTCAAGAAGACAAAACTCACACCAAAAGAACTTTCAACGATGTCGAAGATAAAGCTGAAGACAGAGACATGGAGTTTATGATCTGGAGCGGTTTTCAGTGATAACAAGCATGTCTACAATCAAGTATGAAGTATATTCGAGATTTAGCGAACACTGAAGAAACTCTAGAGTTATGCCGGTGCTAGCGATCAAATGATACTTGTTCTACAAGATTAGTTTTTGTCTTATCTTCCTGCACACAAAGGACAACCCCATACCTCTCAAAGTAAAGCAAATGTACGAAGTCACTCTATTGTCTCCAAAAGTGCTTACCTACTTTTGGAAGACTATTGTTCATATACGGCCAAAAGCTTGTATATATGAATACAAAGAACAAGTTCATCTCTAGAAGTTTGCCACGTGCTTTGTACCCTCTGACTTGCATTTAATGTAATGGGTACAAATAGCCAATGAGACTCTCTTCTCCATATCCACAAAGATAAGCTTACCTACAACGAAGAACAACACATACATGCAAAATTAAGCTTACTCTCAAGCAAAATTATAACATCTTCTTAAGCAAACCTTTTCTCTCTTGCTTTTCTACATCTTGTGTGCTTCTTAGATTGTTTTGATAAATTTTGTATCTTATCTTTTTCTACAAACAATTTGTAAATTATGTATTGATCTTCTCATATCAATAAAGGACTTTAAAAGGTGAATTTTATGTATTTGTATTCACCCCCTTCTTCTATAAACTGTTACCTATAAACTCTTGTAGATTCGTCTGGGACCATCAAGTGGTGTCAGAGTAGTATTTATTATCTCCTTTCTTTAAGATAATTTACTAACCTGCAAAATTCAAGAAAAAACTTTCATGGATAATGACTCTCTTGCCAAACCTCCCCAATTCATCAGACACAAATTCAGTCTCCGAAGAATCGGATGTCCATTTTCCTGGAATGTGTGGATCCTGAGATTCCATATTATATTGAGAATGGACCTTATGTTCAATTCTCAATATCTCCAGCAGTTCACGCAACTGTTAT